ATATGGCTGCCTTCCTGAATATGTCATGTTTAAATTAGTGGTTTGGCTTAAGCATGGAATTTTTAGTTTGCTGGCAAAATCCCATTTTATTTGATGCTAATGTTAGATCACATTCTGATGATTAAAACTGGGAGGGGAAGCCATATTGTTTTACTTGCTTGCTTCTTAAATCAGCTACTTTAAATTGATAGATTAATTTAATAATTGCTAATTATTCTAGTTTTGACCTCTGAACTCTTTTTAATCTCCGCACATTTTTGTTTCCTCAGAACACACACGTTTTCTAACACAGCCACTTGCCATTCAGATGCGAACACCTACGCCCACCGGTGCTCCAATTATCCTGGCACCTCGCCTGCCATCGCAAGTTATGGCCACCAACCAGCCTAGCTTAAACGGGGCCCCACCTCCACTGGTGTCCCCCTCAGGAGAGCACACAGGACTTGTTTATAACCCCTATGCTATGAGCATTGGGCAGGGCCTGCATTCAGCCATGGATCCTTACGGCCTAGCATCAGGGACACCTTCCATATTCGAGTACCAGACACATCTTGAGCAAACTCAAGCGGGTATGTTGGTTAGACGAGACTTTATAACAGGGATGTGAGCCATTTGACCACCTGGCCAGAGCATCGCAGTCATCTGTAGTCCTCCAGGGTTCTCAGTGGCTAAACCTTTTGTTTTAATCCAGAACTATTTACTGTTGTGAATCAGTATATTGATAATTAATGTAATTGAGATCTTTTGCCATGACTAGGTACCACCTTCCTGTATCGTGGCATTTACCCATAGAGCAAGTTATTTCAATGGCCTGATATTTGTTGCATTTGCATTTACTTAGTAATGCGTCTTTAGTTGTTTCAGATATTTGTATTGGTCTCTTTTTTTAAATTTTTATTTTTGTTGAGCACAAACAGTATTGTATATTGAAGTAAAATTCTAGCTACCTTAGACAATCAGGTACATTTTTATTGGTCGATTCATTTTGAAATCCTGTTGTTTTTATGTATTATTTCATATAGTGAGATAGATATGGTCTAGTTCTTGCCATAGATAGATATATTCTAGTTCATGCTAAATAGATATGTTCTAGTTCTTGTGAGATAGATATGTTCTAGTTCTTGTGAGATAGATATGTTCTAGTTCTTGTGAGATAGATATGTTCTAGTTCTTGTGAGATAGATATGTTCTAGTTCATGTCAGATAGATATGTTCTAGTTCTTGTGAGATAGATATGTTCTAGTTCTTGAGAGATAGATATGTTCTAGTTCTTGCCAGAAAGATATGTTCTAGTTCTTGCCATGTCTCTTCATTTATTTAGTACTTGCAGTAGCATTAAGAATTCTTTTTTTTTTTTTTTAAAAAAGATTTCTAGGCTCTGGCTGTTATTTCTCAGAAGTAAATTTTTTCAGGATTTGTGTGCTTTTGTGAGGTTTCTGTGTCATTATTTTCATCGTCTTTAAAACTTTTTGGTTTACACCCGAAACATTCCTGTTAGCATTTGTTTTCGTTTTGTAAGTTCAGGGTAGTTTAGTTGGATTCATAAGATGGCTACAAAGGTAGTTGAGACAACTCATTCTTAACTTGTTTTGGTCCATGCAGAGTTTGTGTTCCTTTTCTTTGAATGTTAAGACTTCCCTCCTGTTTGTCTAGATTGCAGAACATTCCCAAAAATTTTACTTTTTTACTGGACAGCCAGTTATTATGAAATGTTCATATCTCTAGTGAACTAATCAATGATCTCAGTGAGTGAAGATGTCCTCAACAAAAAAATGAAATAGGAAATGACTGTCGAGGGAAAGGAAAGCTGTTAGTTATGGTAACTAAAAAAAGTCCTTAGTAAAATTGACACTGTAACAGTTCTGGTTTTGAAACTTGGTTAGAAAATTATATTATTGATGAGAATAGGAGCTTTGATACTAGGTGTTTTTCTTTAGCCTAACTATTAATACCAGATCTGAATCATTTTTAAAATGTTCTTCAAGATTTGAATCTTCAAAATTCTCCTTCGAATAATCAAAGGTTCCTTTCTTATTTTGGCTTTTCTTTTTGTCTTGTTTCTGAATTTGTTTTCAAGGTCTTATCCATTCCATTTTTTTTTTAACATTAATAAAATATTTTTATTTCCCTGTATGGTAATTTTTTCCTGTTTCTGTATAAGACAACAGTGCTAAGTTGATGTAACGTTGAAGTTGTTCATTGATTGATTCCGTTGTCATTTTACTTAGTTTTCTTTCTATTGTTTGACTTGAGTTTTTGTTCCTAGCTTGCATATAGTCCAGGTTGAAGTAGACTTGGCCTCCTTGCTTCTTGTTGAACAACTGCTCATTTTTTTGTTTTTCTTTTTCAGTTTTCCTTTCATGCTATTGTTTCCAGTTTCTACAAAATCTATTCGTCATGCTCAAAACTTTTTGCTCAACTCAAAATTTTAATGTTAAGTGTACATGGTCCTCCTCTCCCATCCCCCTCTCTACATGTGTACATGCCCCTTCCCCCACCCCCTCCACTCTTCATTCTACATTCTGCCACTTCATGTTGTTTATTTATTGCATTTATAATAACAGTTTGTTTCTTCTATAATCAGCTGCTTTTTTAAAAAAATGTCATGCACATTGGATTAGTGCTCGTCAACTTCCTAAAATGAATATTTTGTAGGTATGTCTAAGCCACTAATTTAATCTTGTTCAATTATCTCAAATATTTTTGTTTCTAAACCATATCATTTGATATGAAATGAATCATATTTTATGGCTTATTCATGCCTGCAAATGTACATAGTATATAAAATAATATGGAGTATTTAAATATATATATATATTAAATATACTACTATAACATAAAACTATATGTATAAGTATATATACATATATTTGGAAAGACATTGTTGACAAAAAATGTCTGTCTCGATAGCATGCTTTAAATGTATATAGGGTGATATTTATTTTAGATTAGATTCATTTTCCCAATGTTTTCTGGCTTGGAGTGATTTATGTTGTAGTTGTCTATGCATGAAAACTTGTGTGTATTGCATGAGACTGGCATATATATATATTTGCATGACTTTTGTAATAATTAGAGAAACATATGGTAATTCAGATTTTTTTCATTTCTAACACATTGACATTAAAAAAAATCCTAACTTGAAACTACTTAAGAATTACCAATTTAGTTTTGATAGTTTAAAAAGGCATTAATCAACTATGAAGGGACATTCTTGCTTTTACTACAAAATATTTTAATTTATATACAAAAAAATATAACATTTTTACCAATTGTATGTTTTAGACTATTCTTATTAATTGCTTGTTTCTTTCTTTTCTTCTCTCGTTAACATTCTTTTCTTTTTTTTCCTCCCCCTGATCTGTTACTTACACTGCACTGACATATACTATAATTCTAAAGAGATTAAACATTTTATAAACCACGTGATTAAACATTTTATAAACCACTAACGTGATATGTGCTTTAAAAAAAATTATACCAGGCCCTCATGTGATTTCTGAAATTTTAAAGGCACGCAATGTGCCAGATTTTAAGCAAGAGACATGTGACCCCCCCCCCCTCCATTTTGAGTTAAAGTGACATCACAGTAATTAAAATTAATTTTTAAAATTATTGGAATGCTGTTAATAACAAAACAAAAAATCTTTTCTGAAGATGTATAATTTTGTTAATAATAATTTCAAATAAATGAACAAAAAAAATGTTTCGCTATTTTTCTTTACATCATGTCATCTTAATAGTATTGAAACTCATGAGGGCAGTGGTTATCATTTATAGGTTTATTGACCCACATTAAATGTTTGTAGATTAACACTTAACAAGAAATACAGTATCAAATTAATGACAAAAACGTGTCCAACCAATGGGCTGTGATCTTATTTTATTGCTCTGCAGAGATGTACTTCCCTGTTCTTGCAATGCCATGTTTTATAAAGACCCAATAGACTGTTCAAGTGAAAAAATGTCCATATCAGTATTTTTTCTATTTTTGTTATGTCCCTTTTTTTTGTAATGATAGCCCACAGACTAAAAAGAAAAAGTCGAAAAATAAAGTATTACAGTTTTGTAATTTCTGTTCCCAGTGTCTTAAAATTAATGAAAAAGAATCAGAAACAAAATTTATTCTTAGTTGTAGTTTTTGAGAGTACAAAAAATTGGGTTTTTAAAAGACCAGCAGATTCAAGTTGAAGAGGTTTAATTAAAAGATTGATTTTAAAAATAATTATTGGTGCTTTTACGTCATTGTTAATAATTCATGAAAAGAAGATTAAGTTTAGTTGATCTCATTCCAACATCTGGTTTATCAACTCCTAAAATAAGCTCTGTTAACTCTTTTCATCTGTGGGTCATCATTTCATTCTCATTTCCTAAATTATTCCCTCTGTTTATTGACTGAAGTAAGGGTCCATCTTTATTTATGTATTTATTCTTAAGGTCGTTGGTTTTGACTGGGACCAGGGATGTTACTTAGTTTTGGCTGATACACTCAAAAATGTCTTTGTGTTTATTTTCCTGTGATTATTTTTTTTTCCCTTTCTCTGTGATTTTTCTTCCTATTGTGCCTCTTGAATTCAGTCTTGTTCTGTGCTGGTGACTTGCCATAAAATTGAGTGATATATTGGTATTGAATTTGATTTTTACTTTGGTCAAAAAGTAGCATTTACTTCCACTTGTTAGTTGTTGTTTTTTTAAATGGAACTCAGTGCCAAAAGCAAAAGGTGTCTTATCTGATCATTATGCTATGTGTTTATAATTCGAATGGACACGGTAGATATTGTCTAGCTGTAGTATAAAGTAAATGTATGTACTTACATGTATTGGATTTTTGTAGGTGGTGTCCAAAAGATCAGAAGGACTATAGAAGGAGTCAGGGCTCACCCATATACTAGAGTATCATTGAACTAATAATTTATACAGGTTAGTTATTTTATGAACTTGTTCTGTTCATTTCACATCATCTCTTCATTCATCTCTTGTTACGTTTTTCTACAGCATTAGTCTTCCCCCCCCCCCCCTTTATTTTTCTGTTATTGCAGCAGAAGTCTTGCCACAATTTTTGTTTTTCTACTGATGTATTCAATGGAAAACCAATCCATTGTTAGACTCATGTTATTGTATATAGCCCAATGTACCAGTGCCTTAAAAGTGTGCATAAATTAAATGTTTAATGAAATGATACTTTAAAGCGGAGACTTATATTTAGAGCGTTATTTGATATAAAACTTACTATGACATAAGTCTCAGACTAAATTTACAGGTTATTGTATATAACACTTTTGTTAGCCATGATTTAAAATTAGTATTTCAAATACTCAACTGCAATGCCAACTTGAACTAATTCAGATGATTTTTATGTTATTGTTTAATGAAATCCAATGGAATCCGATTTATTGCTCATCTATTTCTAGCCTACAGCATTATTTTTATATTTATACCTTACATTTATATAAATACAATGACATGTATACTATTGCTCCTTGTGATGACTGCGTTTAAAAGCCACAGACACACACACACACAAACATAGTTATTTTTTTATCAATTTATATTTTGCTTTCTGTGTTGATTGTGAGATGAAAATAATTTGTGCAATTGTTGTCAATATCAGATATTTTTAGAAATAAAGACATGAAATATTCTTTGTGTTTCATTTCTTTTTTTTTTTCTTTTCTTGTAAGAAAAAATGAACAATAATACATTTCAAACTAATTAACGACTCCAAAGAAAATTAGGCAGTTGAATACAATTATGACATGTAGATCCACAGGTCCGTTAAATCTATTCTAGTCACGTTCTGTACACAGCAGCAGCAAAAACTTTTCCTCTTTCTACTCATTGGTTGTTAGCTAACAATTGACAGCTTATTGCATTGTAGCTAACTTGGCATATTGACTTACGTTTTATTAGGGATCATTCATTGCTGTAGCAAATTTGTATAATCATTCTAACCCATTGGATTTCTAAATGTAGCCATTTGCATAACAGTAAAATAATACATTGACCATCAATAACTCATTTAAAATCTAATTGATAGTAATCTCGGTACTGTGGGGGAAGATGAATATGTGGTTCAAGAGGTGAATCATGCGCTGACTCCTACATTTAATTGCATGCTTAATTTTTTTTAACTAGGCCAAAATGTATTTTCCCCCCTGATTTATTTCATTTTGAAACTTTCCTTTTTTTTTGTTTTCTTCTTCTCTTTCATTCTCTTAGTTTCCATTGCATGGTGCCATTGGCATGCATCATCATCATACTGTCACCAAAGAAATGGTGAAAACCAGGTCATGCTTCACTGTCATCATGTCTCTTTCACCATCATGTCATCCATCATGCTGCCATTCTTTCATACCAATTAATGCTTTGAATATTTTGTTACAGTTTCATGTTATAGATGTGTTATTTATAGAACATTTTTAACCATTAGTCTAATCATTTTATGCAGCCCTTTTTATAGTATCTATTTTTAAAAATGGAAATTTACTTCTAAACATTTGAAGATTGCTAAATTAATTGCACTGAAATTATAATCTCTAAATGAAATGCTTTAATTTTCTGTAATAAACAATTGAATGATATCCCTTCTTAAAATCACCAACCTATATAATTCTTTAGTAAAACTTTAATAGCTACTTGTATACTATTATCTGTAGCCAATATCCACTAACTCCTTTTTTTCATTCCATTTTGTTTCATTAACCCAGCTGGCAACTAACCACATCGTGCCTTATAAAGACGGGCTCTGTCGCCAGTCGCTCTGTTTGTGGTGGGGACAAAATGTTGGCCGGGCGCTGGGTTGTGCTGCTGCTGGCTTCCCTTCAGTTCTTCAACAGCAGCAGTGTCTCAACAGCCAGAGAGGAAAATTTAAACAACCTTTGGGATAGTGGAAAAGAGATGCAGCTACAAAGAAAGTTCTTTCTCTGTATATTTTTTTTTTTTGTGTTAATCTAATTAGAAAAAGAAAATGGTAAAAACCTGCACCCGCCTACAATTTGTTTCAACTTTTTGATTGTCCTCTAATTTTGTATTGAATTTTTTTATTATTATTAAACAATTGGTTTCTATTTTAATGTTCAAACCTACCTGTGTATTGCTATAAATGTTTTATAATACAGATTAACATGTTTTGTAACCTACCTTTGTAATGATCAAAACAAACTATGAACTGCTTGTGACTTCTGATGCTATGTAATACTGATCTGGTGTGAGGATTCCTAGTATATATATTTTTGGGTTTTATGAAAGGTCTAAATATTGTCACTCTTTTTAATTTGTCTAGGTGCTTTGAAACTATAGCCACACCAGTTCAGTTTTGCTTAGTTTGGTTAGGCAGAAAGTTAATTTTTTAAAGTGCCTGAAATCGTGTACTGCTGCTAACATTACCATGTATAAGACAAAGCCTCCTTACCTCAGAACAATGTGTCCAACAGATGAATAATTAAACAAGTTTGGTGGATGATGGACATAATTTTAAAAAAAATAATTCTGCAGTTGAGTTGGTCTAAATTTAACTGAAATAAATTTTTAATGTATAAAACATTTTCTTGGTTGTTTAAAAATATTCTTTTTAGTTGAACCTATAAGATGATTGGTCAAAGAGATATCCACCTTTCAGCAACACATCATTGATATTAATGTTTGTATTCAAATTTCTATGACTATAACTAAAACAAAATGTTCATTTACTCTGCATTGAAACTGATATTATAATGTGGATGTTTTTATATTTGACATTTCTTTTATTTACAAGTGATTTTTTTTTTTGGTGAAATGAGATTGTGAATTAAACATGTAATCATTTGATTTAACCTTGCTAGTTTATTGATACAATGCTGCACCTAGTTTACTAACTGTAAATGACTGAATATTTTTTTTTTGTGTAAGTTTCACCACTGCTTGGTTGTGTTAATAATCTTATACTCTTAACATCTGACAATTGATTACAAGAACCTTCAAACACATTTTATTTGTTTACACAGTCTTTACCCTTTATTGCCTATTGGTCTCTGTACAATTCTGCTTTGGAACTAATTTTTTAGTGCTTGTTCATTGTATGTATTCTTGAAATATTTGCTTACATATCTATGGATATGAATAGGTTGAATACTTCAACATAACATATATCTTAGACAATACACATATCAAATGCTAATGGCATATCATTTTTTTTTCCCCATTATATTAATTAATGGAAAGTAAAGAAACCCAGGCAACTATTTCCTAACGGATGCCATCAATTTTTTTAAGCAATTTCAAATATTTTTTAGAACCAAAATACAAAAGAATCAAGTTTTGTCAATAATGATGTATATAAATAAACTGAATCAAATTATTTGTAGCCAACATTTTGAAAGTGTTTAAAACTTTGGACTTCAGCAAAAAATGAGATCTCTGCAGTTGTGGAACTTTTTAGGATTGAAAACACTATAGGGCCTGCAGTCTACACAAATACCTTACAGGTTTACTTGAATAGGCTTAAACGAACATGTACTGAAAAATTGCTCAGACATGAGGGTATTCATTACATTGTGTTGTTCTTGAGCCTTATCCCCATCACTTTTTTTTTGTCTCCCCCCCCCCCCCCCCCCCCCCCCATCACCCATTTATGTACCTATACATTATTATTGTTCAAATCAAAAGTTTTTTCCTAATCTTCTTTTGTGAAAAACTTCATATACCCAGCAAATGTGATATTTAGTTCATAAACACTTTATTTTAAATGCTAACTATGCAATAATCTACCTGCTGTCACAGGTTTATGTATACTTGTAGTGCACAGTTTGGACACTAGAAAATGAACTTAGGGCAACTTTTGTTTACGTGTGGATCACATTTAGACTTAAAGGCTATTTATTTGATATAAATCAAAAAGAAACAAAGAACAAAGGTGAATGAGCATTATACACTGTTGACTGTACTTAATTATATTATCAAATGATATACTTATAGAGTAAATACATGTAATCAAAATATTATTCTAAAGCTCTATACACATGTATATTTATATTTCAAGTATTGTGACTTGGTGACTTAACTCTGTACATTGTGTCCTATACTGATGCAATTTCCCTTTACATGATTTCTTGTGAATGTGACGTGAGCCACTGAACAAAATGTTTCATAGTAAATTGTGTTGCTTTTTAAGTGAACATTTGATGATGTACTTAAGTTCTGAAGTAATTGTTTTGTAGCCTTTTTGAAGCACTTTCTCAACATCCACAGATTTTATTTTTTTTTATCTCAAATCTTTTTGTTTTTGCATAGCAACTTGTCAATTCAGATTGCTTTACCTTTTGTAATCTCAGTTTTTCTCTTTTATTATAGAAAGTAACTATAGAAATGAATTGATCAAAATTACTGATAGATTAGTCTGTACTGCAGAGTGAATCGTGAAACTTAGGGTTTTAAAAAACAAATCTTTATTTCTTGAATATTTGCATTGATCATAATTTTCAGTTGAATATGTATGTTCTCATTGAAAAGTTGGAATACGGTACCAGATTTATAGTATTGGTCAGTTGTACTGTTCAAGCAGTGATTCGTCTTTTGAAATTACTGTATGATAAACTGATAGTTAGCATTAAGTTTTTTCAAGAAATATTTTCAGTAATTGTTTTTGTTTGCTTAAGAAGTTGAAGTTGACATTAAAACAAGGATAGTAGTCATATGCAACATGTATATCTATACAACTTTGTGTGGTTAAAGTGACTATATTCATGCAATATTGTTACATTCAAGATAAGGATTTGTTGCCCTTTGTTGTTGACTCATATCATTGTCTGCCTACTTCATTACTTTTTTTGTAGTCTATAGTATTGCTACTCTGTAGTGTTGCTAGATGTTCCGACTCTATAGTATTTCATTTGACACAAGTATTTCAGCATTGAAGATCAGTATGTGATAGGTTTTTGAATAAGTGCCTTTTTTTTCTAACTGCTTGTCTTTTAGTATTCTTTCTCACAATCTATTTACTCCGCCCATTTATGGTCTAACCATGTTACCATAAGATACATTGTTTATATATAGATATATATATATAACATCTATTTTTTTTTTTTTGGTCCTTGAATTATAATTTGTGAAAGATATCCCAGTTTACGTAGACTTCCCAGAAGTGTATATTTTTCTAAAAAAATGTTTTCTTTGGTTGTCACGGCTCACTGCATAATGTTACAATATTGTGTTCTGCTGAGTTGGAAACAGTTTTTTCTTCTGTTGTGAATAGCTTTTTTTAAAATTGATTTTTATGATGTTTAATTTTCTTGTATTTTTTTTTTTTTTCCGCTTCATTAGAATCTCACATGTTCATGAATTAATTGTGTGTGTGTGTGTTTCTACCTGCATTCTAATACTCATCTCATTTTATGGCAATTTTTTTTTTGTTCCTTTCATTTGATGTCACAATTTTGGCGCTAATATTAATCTTGTGTATTTTGTGTTTCTTCTCATTTTCTTTTAAAACAAGTCTCTCATTTTTTTTTCTTCTTTTAATTACATTTAACTGACTGTGCTCAGCTATGTAACTAATTTAACATTTATATAACCTCACCATATATAACTTAATAAAAAAAAGGAATTTCCTAGCCAATGGGTTTGCTGTATTTTTCTTGCCTCTAACAATGCCTTAATTTTTTTTTTT